TACAAAAAGAGGCAAAAGATAGTCTCTGCTTTCAAAGAACTCACACATTGTACAAACAAGCTATATAAAGGATATATAGGAAATCACAGAAGGAAAGTACTAGAATTAAAATGAGTTGGAAAGGCTTCCTGAAGAAGATGGGATTTTAATTGGGACTTGAAGGAAGCCAGGGAAACCAAGCATAGGAGACAGCCAGAGAAAATGACTGGACCTGAAAGACAGAGGGCCTTGTTGGAGGAACAGTAGGGAAGCAAGTGAATTGGACTGAAGAGGTCATGAAGAGAAGTAAGGTATAAGAAAGCTGGAAAGGCAGGGGAGTGGATTGGTTGTGAATGGCTTTGAATGCCAGAGGATTTTGTATTTGATCCTGGAGGCAACAGGAAGCAACTGGAGTTTGATAAGTAGGGTAATTTGGTCCAACTTGCACTATAGGAAAACCACTTTGTTGGCTGAATAGGGGACAATTATGGGGAAGTTAGGGGCTGGGAAGGTTTTAGGGGGAAAGATAATGAGTTCAGTTTTGGACACTGATTTTAAGATTTTTACTGGCTATCCATTTTGAGATGTCTGAAAGGCAGTTGGAGACATGAAACTGGAGGTCAGCTAGAGGTTAGGGCAGGATAGGTAGATTTGAGAATCATCAGTGTAGAGATAGTAATTAAATCCATGGGAGCTGATGAGATCACCAAGTGTAGTAGGAGAGGGAGAAGAGAAAAGGGCCTTGGAACAGAACCATGTATGACACCAACAGTCAGGGCATGACTTGGATGCGGATCCAGCAAAGAAGACGAAGAAAGAATGGTCTGATAGATAAGAGGAGAACCAAGAGAGAGTGCTATTCTAAAAACTTAGTGAGAAGAGAGTATCAAGGAGAAGGTGATCAGCAGTGCCAAAGGCTGCAGAGAGGTCAAGAAGGATGAGGGTTGAGAAAAGGCCATTGGATTTGGCAATTAAGATTTCATCTGCAACTTGAGAAATGATGAGGTCAGAAGCCAGATTGTAAGGGGTTAAGGAGTAAAAGGAGAAAGAGAAGGTACATATTATGCCAGATCAGCTCGTTACAGAAGTTTGGCCATAAAGGGCAGAAGAGATATAGGACAATAGTTAGTGGGGATGGAAGGATCATGTGAGTATTTTTGAGGATAGAGATGTGGATATGTTTCTAGGTAACAGGAAAGGAGAATAGGATTGAAGAGAAGTGACACAAGGGGGAATACTGAGGAGGCAATCTGTTGGGGAAGGTGAAATGAAATAGGATCAATGGTGTAGGTGGAGGGGTGGGCCTTGGTAAGGAATAAGCCCACTTCTTTTCGTGAGACAGGGATGAAGAAAAAGAAAGTGGCAGAAGGCATCTGAGGGACATGAGATGAGGAAGAGGGGAGAAGAGGGAGTTCACTGAAAATGGCCTCAATTTTTTCTGTAAAATATGAGGTAAGGTTCTTAACTGAGAGTGTGGAGGAAGAGGGAATGAGAGGTTTGAGGAGAAAAGAAAAAATTGGGAAGAGCAGCTGTGGACAGCAAGTTGACAAGGAAGGTGTAGAAGAATTGTCCAGAAAAATGAGTCTCCACTTGAGGTTGTGTAACAGAAATCTGTAGTGGACCCAGTTAGAACAGTTGTGTGATTTTCTTTACCTTCAGGAGCAAAGGTGGCAGATAGTGGGAGTCATCCAAGGCAGGGTACAAATAGCATTGCTAAAAGGGGGACCAAGGACTCAAGAGACAAGGACAATGTAGAATTAAACTGGTTCGCCAAGGGGTCCAGAAGGGGAAAAGAGAATGAATGGCTAGAAAAGGGAGATGGCATAGAAGATAAGTGGGGGGGGGAGTCCCCAATGCTTGTTAACTTTGATGAAAGATTTCTTGACCCTTATTCTGTCTCATGTGATTTATTTTTTGTGTTGTTGTTGTTATTGTGAGGTGGGTTTGTTTGTTGTGTTTTGTTTGTTTTTGTAGAATAGGTTTTTTGGTAGCCGGGATGTTTCCTTGGCCAGAAGTCTAGAATATTATTCCTACCAGTCACAATCTGCAAAATTAGAGGGGGTATTTGTGATCCACTGAAATAGCTAAGTCCCTTCCTGGGGAAAAAACAAAAAACAAACACCCTTCCTTATCCTCTTTGAATCTCTTCTTGTTTCTTTTTGTGGTTTGCCTTCTTCCTCTTGTTCCTTAACTGAGGTGCTTTCCAAGACTCAGACTTTGACCCTCTTATTCAGAGAGCTCCTCAATTCTCACAGTTTTAACTCTCTCCTAGGCTGACAACTTCTAAACCACCTGTTCTCTCTTCCAAGTCCTATTCCTTCATATCTATCTCCCAGATGGAATTTCCATATGAAGGTCTTGCTGGCACTTGAAGCTCAACCTATCTGAAACTAAAGTCAGCCCATGAAAATTTTTTAAATAAGGTATAAAGGTTGGGGATCTGCCATGGAGAAAGTGTCTACACCAATAAAACCACAGCTCTTTTGAAGTTGCTTTAAGATTGACAAAGAATTTTCTTCAAAAATCTTGGGAGGTAAGTAGTATTATTATCCCTATTTTACAGATTAGCAAACTGAGGCTGGGAGGGGTTAAGTAATTTGTCCTGGATCATACAAGTGCCAGGGCCAGAATTATTATCCAATTATTTTTCTGACTCCAAGTACAGTGTTATTTTCATTCTAATATGTCATTGATTGTGCCTTATTTTATCTTTGCATGCGTAATGCCTAGCACAGAGCCATAAAGAATCATAGAATTTTAGAGTCAGAAGGAACCTCAGCAGCTATCAAACTGGATCCATTCCTGAAAGGACCCCCAGTAATAACATACTCAAATGGTTATCCAGCCTCTGCTTGAAGACTTCCAGAGAAGCCCATTACAATTTTGGACAGCTCTAATTATAAGGAAGCTTTTCCTCATGTGTAAGTTTTTCCTAAATTGTAAGCCAAAGTCTCTTTGTAACCTCTGTTCTGGTTCTTCCTTCTGGGGCAATCTAATCCTTCTTCAGAATGACAAGCCTTCAAATCGTAGAACACATAGGTGTCATGTCTCCCTTTCCTCACCCCACCCCCAGTCTTCCCTATTCCAAGCTAAACATCTCCAGTTCCTTCAATTGATCCACCTATTAACATGGTCTCAAGGCACTTAACAAATTGTTAAATTGAATATTCCTCCTCCAACTTGCCTTCTTTTCAATCTCCTTATGTGTCAATGACTTAACCATTGTCCCAGCCTCTCAGCACCAACACTTTGGAGTGATTCTTTATTCATTCCTTTCCTGTATGCCTCATCATTTAGCAAATCCTATCTATTTCTTTCCTTCAGAGCAATCCAGCTTTATTTCTTATTGCTGCCCAACATTCCCACTCAGGTCAGGCTGATCTTGCTGCTGCCTTCCAAAGATGACAGGCTCACTCCTGCCCCAGTGCCCTGATCTCCTTCCTTAGAAATGCCTCTATACTGTGGTTGGCTCCCCGGTAGTCTCTCCAATTTCCCACTCAGTCTCTCCTTCCCCTAGTAAATGGCATAAAACTGAAGATTTGATTAAAGGAAACATCTTACACATCCAGTCAACCTTCGCTAAGCTGCTGGTCTACATTGCCTCTTCCCTCTGCCTTTTCATATCTTTTAACACCTACATTTTTTAAAACAGTTTTCCCTTCCTGCTTCACCAAATTCCCTGTGCTTGAAACTCCTACACCATTTTTATGTATTTGTTCTCCCTCCCCATTGAGGGTGGAGACCATGTCTTACACAAACTTCTTTAGAGCAGGGACTCTACCTTATAGGTTTTTTTCTGTGCCCTTCTATTTATGGTGGACATTATCATGTACTACTTACTGGGAAGACTGTAAGAGAGGATCATGTTCAGTTCAGCATTGGACTAGGTGAGCTTTGAGTTCCCTTCAATTCAGTCTGTGATCTTTCATTCTTACAATTGTATACTTTTAGTCATCTATATAGGTGTCTTGGAAGTAGCATGACGTAGTAGAGAGCAGACCTCCAAGCTAGGAAGACCTGTGTTCAAGTCCCACCCTCTGCCACATACTGGCTATATGACCCTGGACAAGTTATTTAACTTGTTAGTACCCTCAGACAACTCTCTCAAACTATAAGTCATAGTGACATTTGCTTTGGAAAAAGAAATTCCTTAATAGAGCCCCATACCTTACAATGATGAAATCACAGTTCTAATTAAAAAACAAAAAGCATGTGCCTTATTCTATTAAGTTATAAAGAGCCATGAGAAGAGGAACCGTGTTTAGCACACAGTAGACATTTAATAAATAAATGTTCAATGAATTAAATTACTTTTGAGTAGGAGGCATTCTATATACTTAATTGATTGTCTTGGCTCAGATCTCAGTGGGGTCCCAATTCTCCTCTATCCCAAGCTCCTTCTTTCCTTTTGACTTTCCATAGGTACTTATAACCCTCTCTGAGGTTCATCCCTGTACCAGTCAAAGGCAAAGATGGAGAACAACAGAAACAGCCTTAAGATGTAGAATAAGGGCGCCATTAAATATATGAGGCCAGTTCTAGGATCATTATTCTTTTAATATATTATTCTGGAACAAAATGAATAATAATTTTAAAAAAGCTCCTGGTAGTTCTTGTTTTCTCTTTATAATTTAAATAAATACCACCCCCACCCCCACCCCCCTTTACAATTTCCCTCCATTCCCACCATTCTTCCCTCCCTGGTCCCAGCCCTTAACCTTGGAGATTTCAGAGCAGGCCACTTTCAATACCAAATTTCACATTTTCCTAGCCTGTCTCCCACCCCCTACTCCTGGCTCTACCTCAAGCCAGAAATACTCATAGCTATGGGAGAGATTTGAGTGGTGAGATATTTAGGGACTTGGGAGAAAGAAAGCATCTTTGATTCCCTTAGTACCTCATTTCCCCATCCCCTTCTCAACAGAGGGACAGGAAGGGTGTAGATTTCCCCCTCTAGATTAAAAAATAAATAAAATAAATACCCCCCCTCCCTTTCCCCACTTCTCTATAAAGTAGTTCCTTTCTCTTCCCCTCGGGAACTTATATGCCCCACCTCCCTCTTTCCTTACCAGCCCTTTCCCTCCCTCCCAGTTTTAACCATCTAACCTTGTTGGGTAAGGAATCCATAGCTCTGACAAGAGGGGAACAGCCAAAGGCCCCCACTTCCAGCCCCAGTATTGCCTTCCTTCCCCAAAGTCCAGCAAAGGGGCAGAAGGTGGGCATTGTTGGAGGGAGCTGCCACTCCCTAACCCTCTACCATTCCACCTAGCCTCCAGGGTCTTGGTGGTTGAGGGGGAGGTTGAATTGTTCTTACTGACTGTCTTTCAGTTCTTACTGACTCTCTCTTTCAGGAGAGACCAAGCTTCTCTCTCCCAAGGCAGGATCCTAAAGGGAGATGACCACTTGGCCTCCTTTAAATGGTGGTATCCTAGGGGGAGGCTAGGCATTGGTTTACCCCTTGGTCCTCCTCTGGATCTGCCCCCCAATCCTGCCCCTTTCAGATAGCTGTATCCCACAAGACCGTTTGCTGCCGGCGGCATGGAGGAGTGCCAGTTTTTCGGGGTTCTGGCCCCCGTCTCCAACTGGGAAGGATAGGCATGCTCTCCTGCTTGCAGAGCCCCCGGTCCGGCCGGTGCCTTGCCTTAATCTCCTTGCAGACGCAGCGTTTTCTCTCGATCACCTCCAGCAACTTGCCATCCCTCTCTGGGGCCGGCTGTGGGGGAAGAGGCAGCAGCAGTGCAGGATGGGTCTGTGTCACCCCACCCCCACCCCCATCACCAAGTATGGGTGGGGGGGAGGGAGGAGGAAAAAACAAAAAGGGCTTGTCAAGGATCACAGAATTACTGGTACTGAAAAAAAGATACCTGTTTTTTCAACTCTTTTCTATAATCTCTACCCAAACACATGTCCACAAACACACACCCTGGGCCTTAGAGATCATACAGATCAACAACCTTATTTTACAAATGAGGAAGCTGAGGTGTATCTAGCAAAGTTACAACTCCTTTCCAGTCCTTTAGAAAAGCTGTTATTACTGCAATTTGGAATTATGCTGAGAGTGACTAAAATGTCCATACCCTTTGACCCAGAGATCTCATTGCTAGGTTCTACACCCCAAAGAGGCCAATGATAAAGAAAGGTACCAGATACACCAAAGAATTTATAGCAGCACTTTTTACAGTGACAAAGAACTAGAAACAAAACGGATGCACATTTTTTTAGGACTCTTGTCTGATCCATTTTGAAACTGTAGAATCCAGAACTGGTTACAAGGATTCTAGTTAAGACATTAAGGCTGCTCTCCTACTTGTATTTGTGGTCTTACTTTGGGCCAGTGGCTTCCACTCTTTGGGTCTCAGAATCCTCATTTACAAAGTGAGGGGTTGAACTAGATGATTTTTAAGGCCCCTGACAGCTCTAGGTTCCTGGATTATGCTCCTCTTCTTCTCTAAAGCTTTGTATTCTTACTTTTTTCCCTGTCTCCAAATCCTCTCCCCGGCCATATCCTCCTATCTGCCTTAAACACCTGCCACCGTGGCTCCTGTTTTCTGCTCCGACCAGACTGCTCAACTCTGCCAGCCATGCCCTGTACTCGAGCATTGCTGTTCAGTTATTTCAGTTGTGTCGACTCTTCCTGACCCCATTTGAGGTTTTCTTGGCAAAGATACTGCAGTGGTTTGTTATTTCCTTCTCCAGCTCATTTTACAGATGAGGAACTTAGGCAAACAGGGTTAAGAGACTTGCCCAAGATCACACAGCTAGTAGGTGTCTGAGGCTGAATTTGAATTCAGGTCTTCCTGACTCCAGGTTCAGTACTCTACCCACTGTGCCACCTACTTGCCCTTTCTATATCTCTAGCCTTCACACCCAGTTGCCTCTACCCATCTTTTTTTTTCCCCCTAAATAAAAAGAGCACCAAACCCTCTCCTCACCTGGCTGAGGATTTCCCTGGGCTGGCTGCAGGGTCGTGGGGTATGGGCAGCAGCATGACGAACTCCAGAGGTAGAGGCTGAGCGCCCTAGGCGGTAACCTCCAGTGAAGTCTGCAGGAGGAGAAAGAGAAATAAGGGAGGAAACAGACTGCTCTAAGGCGTCTTTTTATCCTAGCGCTTTCTATCTTCCCATTCTTATCCCCCATACTGCTCTCTGGATCATCAAGGGTGTGGGGGATGGAAACTGGGGGCGAGGCACAGAATAAAAATGAAAGGCTTGTGATATGGGCAAATGTGGGCAACTGTTTCCAGAAATAATCATTAGTGCCATTCCATTGAGCTGGATGGTTCTGCCTCTGGCGGCACAACCCTCCCTGCCCCTCCCCCCCACCGGCCCCGCCAGTCAGTGAGCGAGCAGCTGTTTTACAGGGTTTAGGGTATACATGTGTGACTGGGAAAAAAGTAAGGGAATCTCACCTCCATTGCGGTGGCAGGCAGGGAAAGTTTGGCAGGGCATGGTTAGTCCTGTTCGGCTTCCTCCTCCTCCAGCCTGATCTCCGCTGTGATGGGCCCTGGCCAGCAGGCCCTCTGCCCCATGGCTTCGAACAGGGATGCCTGATGGGAGGAGTCCCTTCTCCTCCTTCTCTGCCTTGCCTGGAACTTCTCTACTACCATTCCAGGCCCGGACACCTTCCACAGCCTCTGCTGGGGGAAATTAGGAGATATCAGATCCCCTGCACACGTATCTGGGACCCATGGAGATAAAGATTGGGAGTGTGAAGGGAAGGGTTATGTCTGGGAAAGGAAAAGCAGTAATTATTTCTCTTTTTCCTTTCCTTCCCTTTCCACATCTCCTTTTATTCAGAATCACACAAAAATTGTTCCTTTTATTTGCAGTTTTTAAGCCCACCTCTTCATTTCAGAAACATCTCCCAGGACCCTCTGGGAAGGAAACAGGATGCCTTCCTTCCCACCCCCACCCTCCTTAGCTTCCCCACCCACCTTAAGCTAAATATCCTATTTCTCAACATCTCTCCGTGTTGTCTTTTGCCCCTCTCAGATAAGCTTTCTGGGTCAAAGGACTATGGACTAGGGGTACTGTGACCATAGTAAATCCTGGGTCAAGGGGTGCAGGAGCAAGCTTGAATCCAAGTTCCCAGAAGTAGGCCTGGTAGAGGATTGGGTTGCTAGGTAACGGCAGGGGCCTACCTCTCCTCTCCCTCCTGTCTGGGTAGGTTGTCATGGTAACAGCTGGGAGGCAGCTGTGTTTGGCTCAGAATCCACGCACACACACAGGGTCCCTTCCCCCTTACATCTCCCAGAAGGCAAGTGGAGTGTCTGGGCTTGGGGCGGGGGGAAGTTGCCCCAAAATGACAACATTTAGCTCACTCTAGTTCTAAATTCTCCCTTTGGTTCTCCTGGCCTCAACCCCCATCCCCTCCTCTCTGATCCAGTGACCTTCTCTATCCTTAGTCCAATGCTCTGATGCTTAGGATAGCTGTTCCACCCTGGGTATTTCCCTCTTGAATTCAGAGGGAGTGGAGAGTAGCTTCCAACTGACCCTCTGCAACTCAGCCCCTCTATATCCTCCTCCCAATCTGGGAACCTCCCTTCCCTCCCTACTCCCACCTCTTCCATATCTTCCCTCCCTCCTCCCCACCTCCCAACTCACTCTCCAAGTCTTTTGCTTTCCTCCCTCTGTACAGGACTTTTCTTTGCAGGGCCCAGCCCGCCCCAAATGTCGTTGTTCCCACCTCCTCCTCCTCCTCCTGCTCTTCCTCCTCTGGTGTCCCTGAACTGGCAATGACATGGGCACAGGAGATGCTAGCAAATGCACCCCCACTGGTACCCTGGTCCTGCAGCTGGATCTTGACCATGGGAGCGGAAGCCCCAACCCCACAGCCCTTAGATAGCAAACCCCCTGCCTTTAGGCTCTCGTAGGCTGGGGGTCTCTTGAACCCAGCTGTGGCTGGATAAGTCCAGAGGGGGCAAAGGGGGCTAGTTGTAGGGTCAGGAAGGTTGTGAGGAGAAGCCAGGCAGCTCCGGTGGTGAAGTACTCCAGGCCCACTGGCGGGGGCAGCTTTCCCAGGAGGTACTGGCCTGGAACTAGCACAGAGCATCCCATGAAGGACTGAGATTTCCTTCTCTGTCTTCGGCTCCCCACCCCCCAGAGATGGGCCAGTTGGTAGGACAGAGTGTGTGGTCACCTTGACTGCTGAGTATACCATGGTATAAGACACAGCTTTGTCCTTGGGGGGTCCTGGGAGCAACATGGCTGGGGCAAGGGAAGATGCTGGTGCTCCTGCTGCCTTGGTACAGATCATACTATGGGAATTGGGAATCTCCCTTTCCTTCTCCCCTCGAGGCTGACCAGAGCCCTGAGGGGGCAGTGGTGTTGAATGGCTCCGTGCCCGACCAGAGGGCCCTAGTAGCAGCAAATTGGCAGCAGGAGGCGGAGGTGGGGGTGTCTCTTGATCCCGTCCAGGCACTTGGAGAGCTGGGACCGGGATAGCCGGCTCCTTGGTGTGACAGAGGACTGGCAACCTAGAGACCCCGTCCCCAGGGGTCCGGGTAGCAGGCTTGGCTTGGGGAAAGGCAAGAAGTGGGGGACGGTGCTGGAGAAGGTTGGGAAAAGGTGGTGGGATTTCACAAGGGGAAGTCTTAGTAGGAGCCCCATTCTGCCTGCTCTGGAGGGCAGAGGCTGGACGTCGGTGCGAGTGATGAGAATGAGGGTGATGCAATGGAGAGACAGCAGCTGGTGGGGGGACTCCATTGGCCCTGCCTTCTGCTACCTCTTCAGGGAGTGGGTATTTCATTTCTTCATATATGGCCTCACTCTCCTCAGAGTCTGAGTCTGGGCCAGCTGGGGGGCCTGTTCCCCCTCCTCCAACAGAAGCACCTGCTGGGCCTCCACTACTTCTCCCACCACTCCCTCCACCACCTTGGAAGACGTCTCCCACCATTTCGATGTAGACAGGTTCTTCATCCTGTGAGCTCAAATCATGTTCACCTGCGCCCCTCCCCCCTCGGCTGTATCGCTGCAGGGGCAGGGCCCCAACCCGAGAAGTGGGAGCCATTGAGCAGGACTCATCAAAGGAGACAGAGAGCTGGGTGTTGGGACTGCGCTTTGGCTTCTGAGGAGGGATTTTTCGGCTAGACTCACGGCCTTCAGGAGCTGGTTTCTGAGAACCTGAGGAAGTCCCAGAAAGAAAGGCAGAGGCTGAAATAAGACTGGCATAGAAGAAACATTAAGTTATTCTGAAGGCATCTCCTTTCAGGGGCACATTGCCCCTTTCTCCCTCTCCCATCTCCCCTAACCCATAGCTCTAGTCAATCAGTTTTCTGTCAAACTTGTATCTTGTTTACAAACACCAGAAAGCCTACAGTTTCTAGATCCACTCCCACAATTCATCCCCCAACCCTTAAAATGGACTTCTAGGATAGATTCTCCTGTCCATAGAAATAGCTCATATCCATTCAATGAAAAGAGCTCTGTCCTTGGAGTCAGAGGATATACATTCAAATCCAACCTCTAATACTTACTGCTTGTGTGACTTTGGGCAAGTAACTTAACTACCCTGGACCTGTAAAGTCAGGACATTGTACCAGATGCCCTCTGAGGTTCCTATAATCTAAGATCCTATAACCACTGAGAATGGAATCTCTTGTTCATTTTAAAAATGAAACCTTCTACTTTCCCCTGGTGTCAAAATGGATCCTCCCAAACCCAAAATGGACCTTTTTTACCTGCCAGAAATCCCTGCTGGATTAAGAAGGAAGTATCATGAGTGCAAAGAAGGTCTTACCTGCTTTCTTGCTGGGAGGTGCTTCGGCTCCACTTGCAGCCATGCTGAGTTTGGTGCTGGGGTGCCTCCGGGGTTTCACAGGTGGCCTCCGGGCTCCAACATCTCCCCCAACTCCACTGCTCCCTCCCCCACCGGTAGTACCCCCACTACTCTCCATGCTCCCCACCGAATGGCAGGAGAGGGAGCGGGGAGCCATGGCACTACGGCAGGGGTGAGGGGCATGCTCCTGGGAAGCAGGCATGGTCATGAAGCCCATCCTGAGAGAGCGTCGAAGCGAAGACACGTCTCGTGCACGAACCCCGGGCCCTGGCCCTGAAGGACCTGTGGGTCCCACTTCCTTACTTGCACTGAGGGAAGGGATGGGTAAAAGAAGGAGAAGGCAGGAGAGAAGCAGAGAAAAATGAGAGAGGCAAAGGCAGTCGTCAGGTCAGGCGGGGCTTCCCCTAAAGCTACCTTGTAACCTCCTGGTGTGTTATGGTATGGTGTGGGTGTGGGTGCGCTGTAGGCAGCAGGTGAGGAATGAGGATTAGTACAGAGATCCATGGAAAAGGACACTAAAAATAAAGCACAAAGCGCTAAAGGTCAGAGGGAGAGGCTTCAAGGCCTCGGTCTTGAGGATTAAAAAGGAAGACAAAAGAATAGAATAAAGGGATAAGGGTTGGAGGGGTACAAGGTACAAGGACAATCATCCCCTAGGTCTGTTTGGGCCCCCATATTTCAAACAGCATCTGCATGAAATGCTTCCTGTACATTTGGAGAACTGCAAAAATCTGATGTCAAGCACATTCCTCATAGAGAAAAGCATGAGTGACACACACAGATGCAAGCTCAGCCCCTAAGGTTTCATATCTGTCCCCTGGCCTCACTTCATGCTTGAAACATGCACACATTTCTGATGGCTTACTTTTCCACTGTTTCCCATCTGCTTCAGCCATCTTTAGCCTGCCTTCCTTGCTCCCATCCCTTATGATTCTTCTTCCTCTAGCTCTCCTTTTCTTCCTTTCTGTCATTCATTTGCCTTACTCCCTTTCCTGATTCCACAATTTATCCCCCACCCTCCACTCTCATTCACAGTCTCTGTGCTTCTGTGTGAAAGAATGGGGGGGGGGGGGGGACTGTAGGGGGTGTGTGGAAACCGGAGGGCTGTTGTGGGGTGGGATCTCTGATTAGGGCCCTGTCTACTAACCCTTCATTAAGGGGAGATCTCTGCAGTGATAGCTCTGATTAATCTAATTAACAACATTAATTAAATCCCACAGTAAGGAGGGAGAGGAGGGCTAATGGGGAGGTGGATCTGACTCAGGCTTCTCTCGACAGTGTAGCCACGAGGGGGAAAGTGAAGGGAGTCAAGGGGTGGGGAGATGAGGAATGAAAGCTCTGGTGGGGAGAATGGGGGAAAGAGAGAGAGAGAGAGAGAGAGAGAGAGAGAGAGAGAGAGAGAGAGAAAGAGAGAGAGCAAGAAACCTACAGTGGGAAGCACAGAATAGGATGAGAACAGATCTTAGTGCAGTCTGAAGGGACCTAACATAGTCTTTCAAGAAATTTTGCCTCTAAAAAAACAATCTTGTCTCTAATACCTGTGTGAACTTGGACAAATACTGTCACCTCTCTGGCCTTTAGTTTCCCCATCTATAAAAGAAGGGAGTTGGGCTGCATGGATTTTGGGGTGCTTCCAGCTCTAGGTCCATGCACCAACTCATAATGAAACACTCTGCTCATATTCAGAGGAGAGAGGCGACGGGCTCAGAGTGCAGATGGAGGCACGTTCTTTTTCTTTCTTTGGATATGGCTAATGTGAGGATTTGTTTTACTTGACTATACATGTTCGCAATGGCTTTTATTTTTCTTGCTTTCTCAGTGGGGCAGGGGAGAAGGGGGTGGGAGGGAGAGAATTCAGAACAGAAAATAAAATAAAATTGAATTAAAAAAATTTTTAAATAAATCTATGCTTCTAAGTTAGATTTCACTGGCCTTGACGCAACTATGTTCTCTCATCTTCCATTTCTTTTTCCCAGATCAAGAAGGTGGGAAAGGAACCAAAAGGCTCCCTCTTTCATATGATTACCTCTCGGGACCCTGTGAGATAAGAGAGCTGTTTGCCCCCACACCTTTATGGTTGGACTTGTACTATCTGAGGTCAGGCGACAAAGAATAGAGAGGGCAAAGGAAAGTAGGGTGGGGGTGGGAAAAGAGAAAGGAATTTATGCTAAAGGTATTTGGGGATGGTAGAAGGGGGTTAGTAGGGGACGATATTTGGGGATGGTAGAAGCAAGGGTGAACAAAAGAAACAGTCCTACATTTGGGGTAAGGGAAAATTAAATCACAGAGGTAAAGGATGAAGGAGTATTTTAGACAGAAAAGTAGGCTACTGAGGACCAGAGAAAAAGCTCAGAATGTAAACACACAGAGAGCTGGGATTATGCTTATTATGTGATCCTCTTTATACAGGCCTTTAAAACAGTTATTGTTCATAATTAAATGAGAGAGAAAAGTGAGATAGAGGGGAGTTAACAACAGCCAAGTTCACACTAAGTAAGAAAAGGAAATGAGTTAAGGAGGAGAGAGAATTAGAATCATTTTATGGTCTTACCTCCTTTTGGCCTCCTCCTCCTTGTGCTGTCTCCACTCCAGCTTGGTTTTTCGGTACAGCAGGTTCATGTCGTAGGGCAAGAAGGAGGAGATGTGGGGCTCTGCTCGGCACCACCAGGCCTGGGGGGGCCCCCTCCCTGGGTCCTGGATCAACTTGGTTGGGGAAAAAATAACAGTAGTAGTGGTGGTGGTAGGGGTGGTTGTAGGAGTAGTAGTAGTAATAGGGACCTAACAGAAGAAATTTAAACCATGTGGGAATGGGACCAACATGTCATCTCTGTCGTCCTCCTGTCTACTCTTGGAAGATGCTTTCAGTGAGTCTAGGAAGATGAATTTATATCCCAATATTCTTATTCAATTTCAAAAAGCAGTCATTTTATCAGTCTGGATAATAGTCCACAGAACATGAGATATATAAGAATAATAGGATAGCAACTTGTCCTTGTTCCAGTTCTATCTGAACCCATCAAAAAAGATGAGAGTAAGTTAATGCAATAATAACTGATATGGTATTTTAAGATATGCAAATCACTTTACATATATAATAATGCTAGCTTACATTATATAGCACTTAAAGGATGGCAAGTGCCTTTATCTCATTTTATCCTCGCTACATCCCTGTGAGGTAAGTGCTATTACTACCCCCATTTTACAGATGAAGTTGAGGCAAACAGAGGTTAAGTGACTTAAGGGTCACAGTTAAGATGACAAAGAAATTTAAAAAAAAAATGAGAAGATGCCAGGAATAAAAAAGATAGAAGACATGACTTGGGCCCCCAAAAAGAAAAGACAGACAGAAAAACAAAAACAGATTAACAGAGGCATACAGATAGATATTGAGAAATACCTCAGATCCCCAAGTATGCAGAAACACATACTGACAAAATACAAGCATATTCTATATAGACTTACATATACAACATAAACACTGTGTATAAGACAGGCCTAGATAATATAGAATACACTACAGAGCCTGACACACTGATGAACATGGATACATGGACGTATACACAGGTAAACAGATCTAGAGACAGATGCACCCACAGACATATGCACCCACAGACATAAACACCCACAGACACACCCACAGACTACAGACACACACAAACACACAGACATCCACATTAATCAGATACCCAGAATTAGACAGGCTGAAACAGAAGAGTTAATGCTTAGTGCCTTATTGGTGTAGGTTTACAACCTTTTTTTTTTTTTTTTTTTTTTTTGGTGAGGGGTGGTGGAGGCTCAGTCAAGTTCCTAGCATCTGGGAGGAGGGAAGGGGGACTGAGTCAGGGAACAATCACTCTTCTTAAACCAAGATTGTAGTCCAGCACCTGACTGACTAATGGACCGCCCCCACTCCCACCCCCTACCCCAAACACACACACACACACACACACACACACACACACACACACACACACA